GGTGAAAGGAGCCCTCTTTCTTTTGAGGTAGCTCCATGGGTGTGTACTACTTCAAATGTACATTTAGAATCAGTCAATTGTTCTTACCTTCAGACAATTCTAGGGCTTGCTGCAAAGTGATAAGCTCAGCTTTTTGTGCTGAGCTTTTAACACTGAACAGGTTAGCTTCAATTACTTCCATTTGGGTTACTACTGGGTACCTGGATTTCCGCTCTCATTTGCGCACAAAACTGCTACTGTCTGTGAATAGTGCCCAGTTTGGATCTTCTATTGGAGTGTCCCCTGCTGAAGTCAACTTTCTCAATAGTTTTTGAACTCTTGTGGGAGGACAGTCTATGTTGATTGGGTTTTACATCCTGTCTGGTGACTCTCCCATTCAAAGCAAACAGAGATTGACTTAGAGTTGCAAGGGGTGTGCGGAAAAAAGCATCCTTAACACCCAAACCAGTGAACCACTCATCAGACACCTTAATTGTGGTTAGAAATATATAAGGATTTGCTAATACTTCATGTATTGCACTGTTTTATTAGTAGCTCTTGTACTGGTCTGTATTCTTTAGTATGCGGCTTTTTACTAGTAAGATGAGAGTATTATATTTTGACTTACCTTCCCTTAGTAATCCATGTTGCACACATTTAGTAATTAATGCCTCTTACCCTTGTCCGGCATCTAATTCCAAAGGATATTGTTTCAGCCATACCAGTCTGACATCTGTTTTCAGCCCTGGCTCTGCTGCTTTTGATCTCGTCAGAATTCCAAAGGCCCACACCAATGGAATAACAGCTTTTCCCACCTCTTCTGGGATTTCCTTTGTTGTGTTTGGTTGTTGTAACAACATAAAATCCTCGTCCAACAGCATCTTACTATAAAAAATTAGATACTTGTATTTTTTTCATTTTCAAATATTATCTCTTCCTAACAAAACCACTGGGTATTCAGGCATATGTAGAAATTGATGTGTTAACCACTGTTTACCTGTGTGGAATTTTTAGAGGTTGGAAAAAATGGCAAAGTTTTGCTTTTCCTGGTTGCACAGTGGCATTTATAGTATTTTGGCTCAGAGCCCTTATACATATATTGAGAACAAAATAAACTGCCCTGTGTCCACCACAAAAATCACCAGTTCATTCCTCAGTGTTTAGGGGTCAGCTGGACATGCCTCCCCCTTGTGCTTTATCTAATATAATTTTAATAGCATAATTGCCTTTGGAATAGTCTTTCATTCCACATATATATGATCTCTAATAACTGATCAGTAACTTCCTTTAAACTTAATTTTTAAGATCCTGCCAAGTTAGTGGATGGAAAATGATTATCTACTGTCCCCTGCTGGATTCCTTGAGCATGCATTCTTTCTCTCTTCCTCGCTTTCCTCTGCAGTATCCCCACTTTTCGAAGTCAAAAGCTTTGTCCCAGCAGAGTACCAAAAATTCTTGCCAAATACCCCCAAAATTGTCGAGAATAATAGAACCCTCTAACACTGTCGTTTTAGTGTTAGAAAGCAAGACATTAGTTTATTTGCAGCATAGGGTGTGTATGTGGCCAACAAAAATCCTCTCTCCATGCAGACACCAATACAATACTTTTTCACCTATTTTTACATTTTTAACAAACAAGTTATTATTATTCATTGGTTCTTCGTTATATAATTCTCTTTCATTAGTTACTATTCTACCCTCTAATGGTTATTAATTTCTCACTAATTTTCTATGCTAAGTAAGTTGACATCTTTAGTCTTTTTAGTGTTTTTTTTTTTCCTCTGGTAGGGACCTTCCTGGACATATACTGAATCTCTCGTTATTTCTTTTCTTTATCTGCTGGTTTCTGCAAAATGTCCTTGGTAGTGCATTCCAGATGTCCAGCAATACATCTTTCTCTCTCAGGCTTTGTTCATTGAAGCATATCAAAGTTTAACAAAACTTTGTCAGTTTTAGTACTTTAGTACTTTTTTAGTACTTTAGTACTTTTCCCAAACTATGTTCTGACAAAAGTAGCTTATAACAATTTTTTGCTATATGCTGACTAAAAGTGATATGAAGCCTAACACAACTTATGATAAATTAAAACAACCAATTAAAAGTTTAATTAAAACTATATATTAAACCCAAATATCTGAAAAGCTGTATCATTCCAACAGTAGTTTGACTTTGGTCATATGGAGTGAAGGGCAGAAATACCGTAGAGGAACATAAATGCTTTTGCGTCATCCTTTCCATCTCACTAGCACAAGTTATGAGGGAGTAATCTCAAGCTCCCCTGTGCATGAGGTTTATTCTGCTCCCTGTTCCTGTCTACTAGCTCAAGGACTGGTTTCCATGAGGATAACTGGTGTTGCTGTTAAAGATTGAGGTGAAGTAGGCATTAAGTACCTCAGACTTTTCTCATCCTTGGTGACAGTGTTGCCCCACATGTTCAATAAAGGATGGAGAATTTTCTTGGACCTCCTTTTGTTGCTAATCTATTTACAAAAAGACTTCTTATTATCTTTCACAGCAGTGGCTAGATTGAGTTCTAGCTGAGCTTTTACCTTTCTGATTTTCTCTCTACGTGACTTGACAACATCTTTGTACTCTTCCTGAGTTGCCTGCTCTTTCTTCCAGAGGTCATAACCCCTCTTTTTTCCCTGAGTTCCAGCAAAACTCTCTGTTCAACCAGGCCAGTCTTCTTCCCTGACAGCTCATCTTTCAGCACATAGGGACATCCTACTCCTGCATCTTTAAGATTTCCTTCTTAAAGTATGTCAAAAACTCTATAATTTCGTGATCACTATGCCCAAGATGGCTTCTGATCACGACATCTCCCACCAGCCCCTCTCTCTTCATAAACAGCAGGTCTACCAGGGCACTACCCCAGTAGCCTCACTTACCAGCTGCAACAGGAAGTTATCTTCCACATACTCCAAGAACCTCCTAGACTGCCTCCTCTCTACTCTGTTTTCAGCAGACAACTGTCAAGTTAACATCTCCCACAAGAACAAGGTCTGGTGACCATGAAACGTCAGCCAGCGACTTACAGAATACATTATCTGCCTCTTCAACCTGGTTGGATGGTCTGTAACAGTCGCACCAGAATGCCTTGTTAGCCTTTCCCCTGATTCTTACCCAGAGGCACTCAACCTTATCACCACTATCCTTGAGCTCTGTACAGTCAAAATGCTCCCTTAATGTAGAGAGCTTCTTCACCACCTCTCCTTCCTCACCCGTCCCTTACGAAGAGCTCCTGACCATCCACTGCACTCCACTTATGCAGTCGTTTCACCATGTTTCTGTGATGGTCACTGTGTCACAGCTTTCCTGCTGCACAGTGGCTTCCAGCTCCTTCTGTTTGTTACCCCTGTTGTGTGCACTGGTATAGATGCACTTCAGCTGGACTACTGATTTCACCCCCAACACTGGCATACTGCCTCCAGGCTCATGTCTAGTGAGCCTGCTCTTATTCCCTTCCCCTTTCAAACCTCTCCATTCAACCCTTCCAATTCACAAGCTAATATCCTTTTCTCTCTCTTTAGATGTTGCAGGCTGTCGGGGGATGACTGATTTTGCCCTCTCCTACCTTAGTCATGCAAGATTTCCTGGTGCTTCACTGCCAAACGGTTTACACAAAGGCTAAGCCTAACAGGATTCCTGAGGTTGTAGAGTGGTCCCGAGGAGCAGTGGGATGGGTGCACCACCCCGTGGTGTCCATATTCAAAATATTCTTCACGTTACACAGAATTAATTAAAATATCTGATCTTTGCCTTCAAAATCACCACTACTACTTGAATAACCAAGGAACAAGTTAGTTATGCTAGACAAAACAGTTTTGTGCCACTGAAACTCTGCCCCAAAAATTATGGATGGAAATGACTCTAACGCTGTCACATGAGACCCAGGTTTTCCACTTCTATAGCTTTTTGAAAGGGAGATATAACTTTAGGTGGAGAATACTGACATCTTCTGGCTGAATGAAATAATGCAAAGAGCTCCAGTCTTACCCTCCAAATTTATGTTTAGAAGAATGTGTTGCAGTTTTAAGAAAAGCAAATGACTGTATTTCCCAGTAGATGAAAATGCAAACTTCTAAAATATACCAGGCTTTTGGAAAGCCTTAATAGTAAAAAAAAAAAAAAGAAAAAAAAAAAAAAAGTCTTGTCTTATAATTTTACTGCTGTTCATGAAGATGCAACTGTTATTTATTGCTACAGTTATTGTTTATTTTAAGATAGACTTTGACCAATTAGTCACAGATGTGCTCTTGGAAGACTGCTATTCTTGGTGCCCACCCAGGAGTCCTCCTTCCACCAGTTGTTCCTTGTGACACCAGACCCACATTCCATGTATTCTCTGTTCATGCTATATTTAACATTTTTCTTTCAGTACCCTTTAGGGTTGTCTTTCTGGTCACACTTAATTTTTACTCAGTTGTATTGGGGGGCTTAGACCTGTGCTCTCTGGTGAGTAGGTGATCGCTGCAAGAAGCATGTTGAGAACTTTATGGACTGCTTTAGAGTTAATTTTCTCATTGTGAGTGTTGTAGGAAGTGAGTCTTTATGGAAGATGAAGCCTGGACACATTAAAGTCAGTGAAGAGTTATGCTAGTGGTGTCTATATGTCTTTTAAAAGGCACAAGATAATTAGGTTAATGTTATACAGGAGTAATATTAACTATATAATCTAATTTTGTGGTTGCATTAAGATAATATCCTAGCCTTAAGAAAGACATAGTTCTGTTAAGTAAAACCAGCACTGCAGTAGCCAGTATTTCATGTGTGACTTTGGGAATGGATTGCAAGCAACAGAAAGTGATGCAAGCACCCATTTGATATTAACAGAGTCATTTTCCTGAGTAATGACACCCTGGAAAATAATAGATTGTGACAGTAAAAAAATCCTTTCATCTGATGCTGTTTTCAATTTGACTGTCTATAGAAATTACATGTAGTTCTGTTTGAAGTAATTTAGTCTCCATTGCCTTACTGTATTACAAATATATAATTAATAGTATATGTGTCTTTAACAGGAACCAGTGATCCATATGTCAAGTTCAAACTTGGAGGGAAAGAAGTATTTAGAAGTAAAACAGTACACAAGAACCTCAATCCTGTGTGGGAAGAAAAAGCTAACATTCTTATAGATAACCCAAGAGAACCATTGTATATAAAGGTAGGACACTATCTTACATATATCGGACAAATTACAACAGAAGAGTTATTGAAAGAGTTTAATTTTGTGATTTTTGTATCCTGAAAAGTTTATTGTACAATAGTGCATTGCTAAAGACTATTTAGAGTGAAAATTATTTCAATTATGTCTGTAGAATAATGATATCAGCATTTTAAAAAGTGGCAAATATAGGTATTTTTATTTATTTCAGGTCATCATTGTTTTGTATTTTTTAGTGTGTTATTAGCAGAAGGACAGAGAAAATAAACTTTCATGGTGATGGCATCCCTTTTATTTATGGAAATATTGCATAATTCTGATATGAAGCATAATCTTTTGCATTAGAAACAATTCTTTGCTGAGGTCTATTTAAGAATTTGTCAAGTTGTATGCCTGATTCTCTTAAATTTTCTAATTTTTCAGTTTGTACTGAACACAGTGGATTTGCTTCTGTATTTCGTAACATTTTATTCTCTTAAGTTTTTTTATATTTTAGCTCTCCTTAAGATAACACAAGTGGTTTTGTGATATTAAAGGCATTTATTATTCTGAAATAACAAATAGCTTGAGTTTAAATCAAAAAGAGCACAGAGTAATAAGCAGCACTGCCACTAGTAGTACTTAGCTGTCCATATGGAATGGGAACTAGAAAAGCTGTGATCATAGTTTTGTATGCATAGAACAGAAAGTTGCTCTTTTGGCCCCAGAAAAGTTTGTAGTTTGTAGTGATCTATATCCAAAAGTGATCAATAATTGTGTAAAATAAAAAATTAAGTTCTAAAAAATGTTATTAGAAAAACTGTAGTCTTATATTCTAAGTAGAACATGCATACATCACAAATACTTGAAAAAGTAGGAAACTTGTCTTACCTGTGTAATCCTTTTGAATTGATATGAAATTATATGATGTTTAGATCAGTATCAGTCTTAATCTAAAATTTGTGACAGATTTTTTAACTGAAATATCGAGTTGTAGATTTTTTTAGTAGATGAATGCCACTTAAACAGCCTTTAAGTATTAATCTGTCCTGTGTTTCATATATTCTCCTCAGATAGAGTACATCGTTACTAGAAAAGCCTGAAATTGAATTAGAATTCTCAAATGCCATTTTCCTGCTGTTACTATGCTTAGTGATTCAAAAGGAATGAACAGGTGCCCAGTACGGTGAAAGAGAGAGGAAGATGCAAAAAAGGTCACTTGCAACATAGCTATCAGTTTTGGTTTACCTATGCCAAGTACCAACCCTGCAGTAGGGTAACAAGGGAATAGGTGTGTATGTAATTATTTTTTCCCTAGGAAAACTGTGTCAAGTGGTATAATGTTTATCATGGTTGCATTCTGAACACGCTTGTGAAGTATTTCAAGTTTTATAGCTTGTTCAGATACTCTAAGACATGACTGAATTTTACTAAGTCAGCTGAAAAGGCTTATTTAGTTTCCCTCTTGGTAATTTGTAGAATTGGAGAAAGGGAGGAAATAATTTGACTTTGCGCCATAAACTGAGATTTCATCATTTGCTTTCTTTTCCAGTTAGAATGAATAATAGATGTAGAAAATGTGAGAGTGCATAAGGTAGATCAATGCATGTGAGAGACTTGTGCTCACATACTTGCATTCAAACCCTTTGAGTCCTGCAGCAGTGTTGTAGCTTTTGGGCCATAGGATTTCTGTTACTGCTGTCTTAATGCAGTCCATATTAAGGTATTTGTGGAAGATGAACCTCTTTACCTCCTGGAAATGAGTTTCGGTAATACAATAGTTGAAATATTTGCATTAAAATTGAAGAACTTGTACTTAGCCCTGTCATATCTCAGTTAAATGTTCTCCTTACAAAGCGTTCACAAGTCTCGCTCTTACTTAGCTGAAAGTATATTCTGGTCCTCATAAATCCTCATGACAATGCTTAAAAAAAATCTTTAATTTGCCTTGAAAGTTGATTTGTTGTTCTTTCTTCTGACTTAGGAAGGTGTAACCCATCTCAGTTTGTTCTATTCAATGTACTGGCCACAAATTCCTGTCTGGATATCAGTAAATTTGTCCAGATGCTCTCTCTTTAGGTAGGAAATTAGCAGGCAGGGTTCTCATAGTAGATTATTAAATGCCATTGTTTCCTTACACATATCCATTAAATTTTAATCTTAATTGTAATATTTCTTACCCTAGAAAATTACACAACCTTCAAAATGTACAATTATATTATTCCTAATACTAATGCAAGTAATATGTATATTGTGCTGTATAAATAATAATATATATAAATAATAATATAAATATAAATATATATATAGTTTATATATATATAAATAATAAAAGTAATAAGGCTGTAATAACCCACTTTTCATAACCATATCCTGCCCTCCTGCTTCCATTTTTCAGAATTGATAAAGGAATCAATGTATAGCAAATCAGTGATTCTGCTTGACTTTAGGTGTTCTTTTGATCTTCCTTCTTTCAGTGCCAATGTTTATCAGAATGCTTTCTTTTTTTATAAAATTGATCTTGTTCACATATGTAGTCTAATAGTAGTATACACCAATGTCTCTACGTGATGCAGTCTTATTAAACAAGCAGTTTCAAGCTTGATTTTCTGGCCAGGAAGTTTCAGGTTGCTTTTAGGTAATCGTGGTTTAACAGGTGAGAAACATGAAGCTATAACTCTGGAAAAAGGGTTTCAAGAACCATGAAACTGACTTCATAAAGTCAGAAAAGCTCAATAGAAAAAAGATTTCTAGTATTGAAAAATGCTCCTGTGCATCTTAGGTATTTGACTATGACTTCGGACTTCAAGATGACTTCATTGGCTCAGCATTTTTGGATCTGACATCGTTGGAATTAAACAGGTATGGCACAAACAAGCCTGCAGAATATTTCTGTATGGCTATCTGCTAATACATGTTTTTGCAAATAGAACTTTATGGGAATTGCAAATAGAACTTTATGCTAGAAAATAATTATATCAGAGAATATTCTGCATTGGAAGGGACCCACAAGAATCATTGAGTCCAGTTGTGAATTGAATGGCCCATATGGGAATGGAACACCTGACCTCGGTGTTTTTAGCACCGTGCTCTAAACAACTGAGCTAATCTCAGGGTTTATACATAAACGTACTAAACTAACCAAGGAAAAACACATAGGGTTAGGAAAGTGCTTTATTCTGAAAGTTTATATATTAGCTGATTACGAACAACATTTTTATAGTGTCTGTGGAGCGGTTAGTTTTATAACCACTTTAATCTTGTTTTTATGCTATCTTCATTCACAGCATAACTACCTGCTGTTTGACTTTGTTTTTTCTGATATTTAATCCATTAAAATCACAGTTCTGATTTAATTACTTCAGTACATGTAAGTACTTCATGAGTAAAAGCATTTGGTATTTTTTTTATGAGCATTTAGACAGAAACACTTTGAAGTAGAAGTAGGGCAAATCTGTGACACTAGTTTTAAGTAGTTTCTTATAAATGGAGATGCCTTTAATTCTCATAATTCAGAAATTCCATTATCTGTGAAATATATCCATCATATATCAAAACAATGGAAATCAAAATAAATATGTACTTTTTTGTTTCCTAGGCAGACAGATGTTACCTTGAGTCTGAAGGATCCTCATTACCCTGACCATGATCTGGGAAGTATATACTTGTCAGTTCTGTTGGCTCCAGGAGAGCAGCGAGAACCGGTAATTTTATATTTTAATAAGTGTGATCACTCCTTTGATTGTTCTGTGGTTGGGTGACTTAGAGCACAAGAGTAAACCTCAGATTCTGAGATTAATTTGATTTTTCTAATTCTTAAAATAGCACTGAACAGTGTTTCTGGTATAGTACAGCATGCTTCATCTGAGTTGGATCCTTCCTGAGATAGTAGTGAGGAATCCAGATGGAACATAAATGCTTATCAATTTCAGTTAAAGTCAGTTACAGGTGAATGGTGCTGATTAAAACTGGTTAAGAATTTTGGACCTACTGCTGCTATGTCTAGGTAGGAATATTTGATTCCTATTCCATGCTGAAAATAAAGCTGAAAAAAGGTAAAAAGTGTTTCTGCTTTTTGACATCTAACGGTAACATATTATTTGATGTTTTTCAGTTTACTGTTTACATGTCAGTTATGAAATGGTGTGATTTTCTAGGTTTATTGTGATTCCTTCATCAATCTTAGTTTTCTGACCTGCTTAGTTGTAAGTGAAAATATTTTCCAGTTTTCTAGATTGTCCTAGTTGTGACAAACTCTGTGTCTAGTTGGATTTATTTTACTACCTTTTTGTATGTTGACTTTTGACTTGGGTGGGTAGATAACTATGGCAGAAATAGCAGAGATGGTATCTCACTTAGTAATGATGGCAGGAGCACAAATCCATCACAAACAGCCAATATGATTAAGCAATGAATTGTTTATTAAACACACAGTGCACATTTTATGCATCTTTGTACCCTTGTGGGTGCAGGATTAAAGTCTTGGGATTGGATAGCCCAGCCCGTCCACAAGTCCATGCCCCACGTCCATTGGACAAGGTACAGGGCCGACACCCTGCACCTGGACACCAGCTCCCACCCCACAACACGAAGTAGCTACCGACTATAAACTCATTCCATTCTCATGGGAAGTCTGCTCAAGTTGACCACAAACTTAATTCCATTCCCATGGGAAGTCAGCCCAAGTCCACAGCTGCCAACCACAAACCAAGTCTTCTTCCCATGAGAAGCCCAAGGCTTCTTTCACAGCTGGTAATATAGATTGTTCACCAAGTGTCCATTTTCCTGCAAATATTACATAACTTAGAGGCTGTAAAATACTCTGGATCCCTCTGGCTTCACAGAGGCTGTAGTGAACTGCTTGGACCTCACAGCTAAATTTTGCCTTCAACAGGCTGTTTTCAAATAAAAGGAGAAATCACTGTTAAGCAATAGATCCTGTAGAGGCAGGGTAGCAGGTTGTTTTAATGCCAGTCTCTTTGCCGTACCAGCAGCCACCACTGTGCAGCCACTCAGAAAGTTTGTTCAGAAACTTTGCCCAGGCACTGGGACATATAGACACACACCATGAACCCCACCCCGACTCCTGATGCCACTAGACTTCCAAAATCTTCAGAAAGAAGACTGTGCATGCTGAGACCTCGTCCAGGAGGAGAGATTGGGGCATTACTGGATAAACTCCCAATTTTTTATATCTATGCGGGCCTTCACCTCTGATGGACCAGGACTGTGTATTGTAGCCACAGACCATCATCACCCATGCATGGCTGGAGCCACGGGTGGCAATATCTTTCTCTCTTTTCTCCTATCTCTTTTTCTCTCTTTTTCTCTTTCAAATTTTCCTCTCTTAATATGATCATACACTCCAGAAGAGCTATACACCCCTTTTCCAATCCATTACCTTTTTTTTTTTCCAGTTTTGGTTTTAAAGGAATTTGTTGTTATATTGGTTATTTAGCATCATTTTGCTTTAGTCCCCCCTCCCAGGGATCTGTTAACAATTAACCTGGTTATCCTGCCTCAGAAGTGCGTTGCAACAGAGGCCAAGAAAAAAGCATTAATCTGATGAAATTTTCCATGGATATGGTCAACTACATTTTTTTTGTAAGAATGTTTATGTTTCTGCAGTGTGAGACATCATTCTCTTGCATACCTGAGGATTACTGGGAGGTTGTAATAGTGTTCTTTTTCCGCTTTTCTCCCAGGTAACATTAAAAAGCCTAGTAAGTTGATTACTGGAACTAGGTGTTTGGTATTTGGTATAAAAGAGATGCGGAGTTTTGAAAGTGTATTTCTTCTCTGTTAAATTGCCTTGTGACATTTTGTTAACACTTAGTAAAAATAATGGAATATGGTAGTAATGCACATCTAGCTTATTTAAACAGTGTATTTTACCTTTTTGTAAAGCAATGTATTTATCCAGACAATTCAGAATTCCGTCTTGCAGATTTGCACCACAAGAGTGTTTGTTACTTAAAAGAAAAAATTTATTTCATTTTGATTTTTTTCTTTTTTTGGTGCATTTGGGTAAGACCAGCTTTTCTGAGTCAGATGCTAATTGCCCTGTTTTTTCAAGTGGCTTTGGCACTATCCTGCCATAATCCTAAATCATGCAGCACAGAAATACTGTATTTTTACATGGGACATCATTATGTGGACAGCATGTTAGTTTCCTTTTTTATCATAGAGAAGGATAGTACTGTACTGTTCCATGTTGTCAGCTCTTATAGAGAGACTGCTCAAGAAAATTACAGGTGAGAAAGCAAAATTAGGACACTACAGTGTAGCCTGTCTTTCATAGGGGTGTTGGTGATTTAGCAACTGAATGTCAAAAGTATTGGGAGCACCACAAACTTGTTGGGTAGTAACTTTTTCCATATCCAGCTGATTGGTTGTAATAGGAGGAAAAACTGGGTTTGTACTATCACGCATTTCATTGTTAGCTTTTTTTAGTTTAGCTCAAGTGAACAAATTTTCTTCCCGTTCAAACTGTTAAATGGGACTTCTTTCTAAAAATGTCCATGATTCCAATTAATAATCTGGTTCCTAATCTTAATCTCAGTATTTATTGTGAGAAACCATTCTTTCCAAGATACGCATCTCAGAGAAGTTCTGGCAAAGTTGCAGTAAAATCATAGAATTTGTATCACAGTGAGAGGAAGATGACTTACAAAATTAATATTGAATTGTTGTATATGAATGTGTTAGGTGTTTCATAATTAAAGACTCAATTATCTTTTACTCAGTTACCATATGTACTTATTGATTTGTTAGATTTGTTTTACTCTCTAAGGAATAGATTTATTACAAAGTGTATCACTCCAGTTAAACTGTTGTCTTTGGTTTTTTTTAATTGAAGGGCTTTGTAATGATGAGGATCATTTTTATTGAAATTAGTATGATTGAGATCAATAAATTTTGAAATGTTATATTAAAAGATCAAGACTAATTCTTGTGCACTCTCAAAATGTGCACCATATAAAGTAGCAGTGAAAGCATCCTACATTCGCATACTGTTTGGATGATTGCTGCTCCCCCTCTCCTCGGATATCTCTATTTTAAAGTAATAATTCAAAAATAGTTGAAATATATAGATAAAAACCTATGAGCACCTTTAAATATGCTTTAAAGACTGCTGCACAGAAGACATGGTGGCTCGTCACATTATGTACATTTCTTTCCTAAGTAATTTCAAATTTACTTAAAACCTGTTTGTTTGATATCCCTATATAGCTTACCTTTCAAAAATACAGTTTCTTCTGGATAGGTTTTATTTTGCTCAGGTGATAACTCATAAATTCCTTGCAACTAATTCCTTGCAAGTTATTAAGTAATTAAGATAATGTTTTACCATTTTAGACCATTTACATGCTGTCACACATAAATGGTGCCAAATGGTTAAATCATAGAGCTGAAGATTTCAGAAATTAATTGCAAGTACTTATACTGCATGTACTATAATTCCATATATTTTAAATGAGAGTGTTTATTAAGACCATTGGGGAAATAAAAAAAGAGGAATAGCTTCAACAAAAGAAGCATTAGCTTTCCCATGTAGCCATAGAAGCCACATATCCTGTATTTTGGGCAGGTCTATAGCTGTATTTCAAATCAAGTCCTCTTGAACAAGACAATGTTTGTGATGTGTCTTTTGGTAACTTGATGCGGATGATACTTTCCAAAGGGATCCTTTCATTGCCTGAACTGCAGTGAGGCTGTTTTGGAGGTCATGCATTGATGTGCAGGTAAAGGAAAAGCTTTTTGAGCGTGTGTTTGCGTGGCTAGAGGACACGTCCTGCAGTAAAGTGCTATACTGGTGTTTCAAAATAATGTAGCTTTATGTTACAGGAGGATGCATCCTGTCACACTGCATAAGAAATATTGATGCTGCTGGAGGATAAGATATTTCAAGTGGAAGTCTGAAGTTAAATGGGACAAAATGGGTCTTGTGTATTGCCACTGTCTGTGAGAGAGGGATTATTGCAAATGATTTTAAATAAGCAGTCAGTTTGACAGAGTAATAGATTATTTTGTTTTGGGTGAAGCCTTGAGGTGTGAAAAGATATGAGAGATTTGATCCATACAGGAGCATTTTTTTCCCTATCTTTGTGGAAAAAAATTCTGATGAAATTCAGATTTTCTGCATATCGACTGATAAGATGATCTTGAGAATTATAGCTGGACGGTCCCATTTCCTCAGATCAAAACATTACATTTTTGGATTCAGATATCAATTAAGAATGTGAACATATACATATGTTCATATAACTGTATGCAAAATTATATTACACTGACTCGGAAACGGGATTATTTATTTTGGAATATGATGGACTGTGAAAAACAGTGCTTAAGTAGTTTACTATTGTGTTTTTCCAGTAGAATAATATTGCACATAGTTTCAATTAAAGGAAATTGTCTACTAGTTTCATAAGTAGGAACACAGTATTCGGCTTTGTGGTACATTTATGTGAAGAAAATGCAGAAGTAGCCTGCTGTTATTGAATATTAATGTAAGAGCATGGGCAGGTGAAAAAAATCAAAATTTCTAGTAAATCTTGTTTCTAAATATCCTTGCCTTTTGCTACCTGGTACATGCTTTAAAGGCATAAAAATGTGAACATTTGAAGTAATAATCTTGTAACTTCTCATTCAAACTATGCACATAAATAGAAACATAGCATTTCTGAAGTTATTTGAAGTCCTATTCTTTTGAGTTTTGACAAATGTAGGTAAAATGATTAGTTCTGATTTTTGAACAATCATAAATTGTGAATCAAATTTGATTAATGAATTATTCTTATAGAACTATAAAAATTTGAACATCTTTAATATTTGTGTCCATTTCCAGCCTTACAATTAAGTTGCCTTAACACTAGTTACAATAATTCATTTCCATTTGCTCTGTGCTGTTAACAGTACTTGTCCTTTACCTTAATGCAGCATTTTAATTTTATTGTCTTGAAAGGACAGATAACTTACATGACTACTGTAAACTAAAAAGATGTAAAATAAGTATGGGAAAAGTATGTATATATAAAAATGTTAAAACGTGAGCTCTAAGAATTCACTAATTTAACTGTATTTATAAAAAATATTGTGTTTATGAGGTACTTTCTGTATTTTTCAAATTTCTCCTTTTGATGACCAGTTTAAAAGAAGTCAGAACCAGCAGTTACTCAGTTTTTTTCTTGGACCTGCTCCAAAGAAGCTTGTTTTGTTTCTGTTGCTATTCCTTTTGGATGCATGTAGTGCAGCACATGCTGGTGTGCTGTTTGTAACTGCATGCATGGGTACAGTCTTCTTGCAAATTCTGTTTGATCTTGTAGTCATGGGTACCACAGTGCATGTGAGTTTTTCTGCCTCTTTCTCCATCAGCATTCGGTGCACAGATTTCACCAATGGGGAACTTCAGTGACTATAACCTCTTCAGAGCTGCATTTCACTCAGGTCTTCACTACAACAGCTGTTTCCTATCTGGGTCTTACAGGCAATTTCCAGCTATAGGAAATGACAAAGTTGGTAGCTTGATGAGAACTGTTGTCTTGGGACCAGCAGAGATTGGGGACAACTGTTCACCCCTGGCAGCAGCCTAAGAGGCATAGGAAATGGAAATAAGGAAACATACAAGTGCTACTTGGATGTTGTTATTTAATGAGATTAAAGTTGAAGGCATTGTTGTTTTCCTAAAATGATCTATCTTAAATGATGCTTGGGTTTTTTACTTCATATGAAAATATTCACAACATTAATATGCTGTCAGTTTGCTCGCTGTATTAAATCTTATAATACACTATTACTATTTGTTTGTTTGTTTGTTTTTATTTCCCAGGGGGATAATAACTTAACTGGGAAAAAAAGACAGATGGACTCAAGGCATAGAATATTTTCAGATTAAAAAGTTCCATGTAGATCATTCATCCTGATCTGTCCTATGCTATATATTTATTTTACTGGATTCTAAGAGTGGTTGCTATGGCTTCAGCTTATCCTGCTCTGGCTGGTAATGATGCCAATGTGCTCTATAAGTATGGTCATATGTTTCTGTAGCTACAACTCAAACTGAACTCCTCAGAGTTGAAAGAATCTTAGAATCTAGAGTTGTTTGGTTTGGAAGAGACCTTAAAGATCATCTAGTTCTAACCTCTTCCACTAGACGAGGTTGCTCAGTACTGCATCCAACCTTGCCTTGAACGCTTGCCAGGATGGGGCAGCCACAGCTGCTCTGGGTAACCTGTTGAGTGCCTCACAACCCTCATGGTGAAGAATTTCTTCCTAGTATCTAATCTAAACCTACATAGTCATATCAGCTGTTGGGCCAGATTCTCTTCCTTGCTCACAGACTGGTCTGAAACCTAGGGAAGCTGAGTTTGTGCTTTGACTTGTAGCTGTGTAGGATTCAGAAATGACAAGGAAGAGAGCAGCTGTGCTATGCTGGACAGGACCCAGGAACTCAGAGATTTTCATCAGGGCCTGCTGTGGGCCTCAAGGTGCTTAATTCTTATGTGCTTCTTCTGTAAAAATGAAAAAAGGGCTTTCTACAGCTTTATAAAACGTTTAGTATCTGTGTATATTTTTCAAAGCTACAGTTATCATTAACTTACAGCAAAGCCCTTGGGTTTTAACTGTCTATAACAAAAGTTTCCTCAGCAGCTTGTTGTTTTTCTTGTCCCAAAAAGCTGTGTCTATTTGAAAAATTACTGGATATTTCAAACATATGAACCCTACATATTTTTTCTCATTTCAATTTCCCCCCATGATACAATTTATTAGCAAGGAAAATGTTTGCATTTCAAAATTTATTTCCATTATTTGAAAAATAAAGTGTTTTACGGTAGTTAATAAAAATAAATATTATGTTTGCTTTTCATGACAAAGTTTCAAAAGAAATTAATAGCCTTTGATTTATTCTTGCTCAATATCAATAGCAGGCTGCTAAATGTTATTAAATTGTAAAAAAATTAAATTGTAAAAAAAGTAATTTTTCTGCATTTCCACAGAACTGCTTAAGCAACAGTTGTGTACACAGATAAATTGTCCCCAATCTACTTGACCAGTATGTCTCCTTTATTTAATGATTTAGAATCTGTCTGTGGACACTTTGCCTCCCAGCATGTCAGAGCATGGTGTCTAGCAGTGCCAAGGTTTTACAGGTTGTTTAGGTAATGGGCCAGGGTAACTGAGATTTGGGGTTTTTAAAGAGTGAAGGTATAACTTTGTTTTCTCCCTCATGTGCGTAATTATCAAACTAAAGAGATATTTTTACTGCTCTGAAATTAGCTAACAGTGGTAACTTTAAGGATTTTGTAATAGATTCACGTTATGAAAGAAGTCTTATGAGGGATTTCTGCTATGTGGCTACACTTAGGAGTTAAACAGTAGTGTTCCAAAAAAATGGAGTACCTTATTATTGAAAAAATTCCATTATTATTAAAAACTATCCAAGTAGTCAAAATTGAAATCACTATCAGTAATGGCACATCCATTTTTTCCCCTTTGCTTATCTAACTCTTTTTTTCTGTCTTTCTTTCTCACAAGTTCAGATAATGCATTGTCTCCAGAACTGAGACTTTCAGACTACCCAGAAAAGTATGCCTGGGTGTGCACAGGGCTGCTGCTTGCCTGGATTTGTTTGAGGCTTGTGTGTGTATCTGTTGGTGGAGTGTACATGTTGCTGTTTCAGTTGTAGTGGTGGTTAAATGTGAATTGTCCTGTTGGAGACAGTTGGCCTCCTTTTCTGTATTGCAGAGGAAAGGTAATTAAAATGCTTTATTTTATTTTCAGACTATGCTAATGAGGAAGAGTTGGAAAAGATCAAGTAAGGTAACTGTAATTTTTAGCATGTGGTCTTCTGGCTGTTTGTTTTTGGATTTTTGTGTCTTTTTTTTTTTTTTAGAACAACTACGACGTTTTACCAAACATGACATATAGAACTGTAAACTTCTGGCTCAGGATTCATTGTCCTTCAAAACATGTTTTAATGACATTGTTTTTTGTTTCATCAAATCAAAACCATGAAACAGTTTTTAAATGTAATCTTAAAACCTGTCAACTTTGTTACAGCATTTTAACTTGTTTTGAAGTCATTTGGCAACTTCATGTAAATGGCCAACATGTCCTGATTCCTTTTCTAAAATCTTTATTTCTCATGTGTAAACAATTTCCTTAGTTAATACGAGCAAGAAATTCATGCCAAAGGATAACTTTAATTTTCTTATTACTTACTCATTAGAGGTTTTGTGTGCCATTTTCACAGTGATGGTAGTCATCCATAGGTGACAGTCATAGCCAGGCTTTAAAAGAGCAGAATACTTAAGGAATCATTCTTGGTCTCCACTTTATAGAGCTCTTTAGATGCCTCTTCAAGCAAATTCAGTATCTGGCTTTTCCCCTCTTAGGAAATGATAAGAAAGGAGCAGTGTATGCTCTTTTCCACAGGGGAAATGCTGATAGTTTGACTACAGTGGAATACAACCAATTTTTGCCTTTCTTTTTTGCTGTATGTGTCTCCAAAGAGATAAAGAAAATGTGTATAGTTTCTTAATAGTTTTCTGGCCAGTCTTACTTAATGCTGCCCTTCTGTTTTAAAGTTTTAAGCCTTCTTGCTGTTTGTATTGATAAAAATAAAATTGAAATTTCTCAAAATCTTGAGTTGGTTGGTGTGGTAGATCTGGGGTTTTTTTGAGATGTTACCATGTGTATGTGTTAAAATCAGAAAAAAAGTGAAATAGCTACGTGGAATGATTGACTTATTTTGTAAAATTATTTGCTCTTCTAGCATATTGATGCACAAATTTAAATAGAAGGTTGTTAGCAAACAGTGTTGTATATGCTGCTCTTTTGACAAATATTTGCACACTTTTAAATCTTTAAATAATTAAAAAGATCAGTGTTCATAATTCTTGGGTTATGGATGGGTTTTTCACAGTTTGCTTCTGTGATGCAGGACAATATCTCTGTTTCTTTTTTGAAATTTCAGAAGCAAAGATATTTGGTGAAGTGATGTTGTATACTATTTTAATTCTCATATGGTTTGTGTAACTTCATGAAATATCTAAGGTGCTCAAACTCCTGAAGAGATAAGGAAGAGCTGTGAGAAGGGTGAAGGGTAGAACTGTTTTGCATCATGAAAGTGATGTTTTAACTCTTGATGTGCTAAATATATGTTTGTTCCCATACTTCAAATTACAAATTGACAAAACTATGTGCTTCAGTAACCCTGAATGAATGGCACAACATGAGAACTGGGAATTCTTCAGAGCTCTTCAAGTGAGTTATTTATCCCTGTTCTCCATTGTTACAAACATTTGATAACATTTCATTCAGTACTGGCATTTTTGCAAATCAGTATATCAAAATACTTGGCAAATAGTGAATGTACTTTCTAAATATTGTACTTTTTCTATGGTTGTCTCACAAGAAGTAATCATTTAACCTAGAGGTGTAATGCATGGACAATATCTTACATTCATTTCTGTATTTATGATTTATATACAGAAGTATCTCATTTGGAACACAGAAGCTCATTTGTCTTGTGGGTCTGTTCCAGAGTTCCAAATCTTTGATCTACTGTCTGAAGAACAAATTAAAAAAATCTTTTATTTACAAAGAATTCCTTTAAAAGACTTGCTGTTCTCTGGGGTGCAAGGTAATCAATATTAAATAAGATGTCATTTCCAGGTTAAAAAAAATAAAAATTCCTAAAAATAGGTACTCAATTATATTAAGCAATTGAGAAAGTGCCCTATTTGAGATCCCTTTTCTTCAGGAATTGTTTGTCTCACACTCCTGAGAGCTGAGAAAAAACCAGAATACTAAAATTTTTTAAAGATACCATTGTAAAATTTCCTAAACCTAATTTTTTGGGTCTCTAGAGACTTTAAAATGACAATTCTAGTAAATGAATTTGATTTTACAGACTATGACACGATTCTTCACTTTTTAAAGTTCGTGTCCTTGAAGCCTACCTTTTCTGTAACATAGGTAGCTTGAAGTTAAGGTGTAGTAATGCAGACCATTATGGCATTCCTTGTGTTCATCAACTGCATTGTTTGCCTGCAGTTCCTTGAGCATGTGTAGTGGATGTAAAAAGAACAGTAACTGATCTCTATTACAATATTAACATGTTCACTTGCAGGAGATCACTTTTGCCGAGTCTGAGTCTCTGATTAAATACTGCACCCCTTTGAAGTTGAGGCATTAAAAAATACTCAGGTCATTGCAGCTCTGCATTTTATCTACAAGTAAACCAGTGTTTTCAAACACACTAGTGTTATAAACACTTGTTAGTGGCATTGCAAAAATGAAGCAACACTTACGCTTTTGTTGGTAGATTTCTTTCTTCTGTAGTTGTTGGTTTTTAGTTTGTCTTTTAGTTTTCCCTGTCACATTTGCGTTATACCAGACATACTCTTCATCAAAAGTCATGGGAGCTAGTTCGCTCTCAGCGCTGTCTAGGTCAGAGGGAGTGCTCCTCTTTCTCTGAATCTAGCAAAAATTAAATTAAAACAATTTTGAAGTCACAGCATTTCTGTCCTTGGTCTCTGACAAGAAAAATCAGACTTCCTGTCTTCAGTGACGGGAGACTTCTGGTGGGCTATTGGAAAAAAGCTGTTTATTAAAAAACCCAAACCAAAACAAAAAACCTCTACTGGGTAGATATAATTTGCTTTTAGTTTTAATTTGATTTTTTTGTTTCATGCACCACAAGCTTGGTGTTGCATTAAACAAACTAAAGGCTAGTGATTACGACTTGGCAGGTTGGGCTGTTTGGTGCATGGTCTGGGAGAGGACAACATCTCCATTTTTAGTAGTAGAAATTTCAACCACTACTGCAGATATCTCTGCTAGGATCCATTACCTTTACCCCAAGTAAAGGTGGAAGTGAATTATTCAATATTTCATGTATTTTTATATGATACAAATGTTTGCATAATAACCTCAGTGTGCCTGTGCCTCACAAAAAGGCTGTGCTTGTATGATCTGAATAGTCAGTCATTCATTTAAACCAAATAGAGTGTCTCTTAGCTTCATTTTTCTTTTTAAAAAGCTATTGGAAAAGTTTTGACCCGTGCAAAATGGTTTTCCTTTCTATGTATGCATGAGACCTGTTCTACTTGTATGTTTCTCCACTTCCACCACCATTTTCCCTTAGGGAAGATTTTCCTTTTTGCATTAATTTCTCTGCTGAAGATGCAGAGTTTCCTGATAGCTCTTATTCTTTGGATTGAGAGAAACAAACTTCTTGCTTCTCTCTTGCTTTCTTAACTGCCTGTGTTCCAGATCTAATTTGGTACAACAGTTGTTGCAGTTCAGGGAAAAGAGGTGTGCAGAATAGTCAACACTGCTTCTGACAGTGAGATGAATAGTGCTAATTGCTGAAGCAATTTCTGTTACAGAATCCTTGATGTATCAACTATCTGTGTAGTTAGAAATAAAACATTGCTACTTCCAGCATGAGCTATCACAGACTAATTAGGTAGAATTGTTTTCTACTTCACTAAAAAAGTACCCACAGCTTTTTTTTTTTTTTTAAAGTTGTCAAGTTATGCTACCTTCATTTGACAATTAATTGTTTGCATTAACTCAATGAGAAGCCTTTCTTTGGACACACTCTCTCAAAGGTCATTTCATTTCATAGAAAGCAGGCAGAATTCTCTGAAGAATCTGTGGATACCAGTAAATATTTTATGAAAAATCACTGGTTCCCTCTACTGTTGTACAGTTTGCTGAATGATTATAGGAGGTTAATTTAGAAAAGGGTAAGGGATAATGGCTTCAGGTAGTGCTATTTACTTGCAGGGTAATGCACATATAGCTTGCTTTGAAAGTTTTGACCTCACTATACTGAGCAGGAGAAATGGAGGCCAAAAGGTGTGAGACAAGAAGGTAACTGGAATGTCTCTGGAAGATTAGAGTGATGGCAAGGCAGGTCATGTTGGACGTAGCAAACCTTTCCAGAATTTTGGATGCCTGTGATATTTAAAAATCTACCTGTGTGCAGGGCAGGTGTGAAAAAGACAGAAAATAGGAATAACAGCCTGAAAAGTTGTCTTCCTACCATGGAATGGTAACAGTGATAGCTAAACTGTGTTTAACAGACATTTGTTTAATCTGTCCTTAAAAATCATAGCAGTGGATATTTTACAACCTCCCCAGAGAGCCAGTTCTTGTGCTTAACTATCCCTTACATTAAAAGCTGTTCTTTTCCCTAGTGTCTTAAAAGTATCTCCCATGGTGCAAATAAAGCTCATCTCTTCTCACAATACAAATGGATATGTTTTATTACAGTGATTTCAGCACAATTTATATATATATATTTTAGAGTGAGTCTGAAAAAGTGATCTGAAAAAATACTTATATTTTAATTCAGAGGTAAGTTTTGGATGCTCAAACACTAATGATTGGGGCATGTAAGAGGAAACAAAACAGTGATATTTGGAATGAAGTTTTACTGTGTGCAGAAAATATGTCAGAATGAATAGTGATAATATGGGAGAAATTAACAAGTCTGGTGGATTGAACCCAACCAGCATGAAGCCTTGATGCTACGTGAGCATTGATCACCAGTAGCCAGCATGTTCCAGTTTTGTCAACACTAGTTTAGCCACAAATGTCAAGCATGTCTTCCCCTTTCAGCTGAGGCATAGAGGGACTTGACGCAGTGGATTCACTGGATATTCCCATGGGGAAAAAAAAAAAAAAAGTGTGACAGATAACTGTGTTTTGCTTTTGTCTGAGAACCTTCATAAGCCTTATTGTGTTCCTAGACCTTCAGGACAACAAATTACACCTCCTGTAAGATGAAAACACCAAAGTCTAAC